TACACCGCGGTATATGAAACCGGTGACAATCGCTGTATTTACTACCGCGGTTATCATGTACTACACCGCGGTATACGAAACCGATAACAACCGCTATATTTAAAACCGCGGTTATCGTTCACTAAACCGCGATATACGAAACCGGTAACAACCGCTATATTTAAAACCGCGGTTATCATGTACTACATCGCGGTTTTCTTTAACGCGATGCATAAAACCGCGGTGGACCGCGGTTATTTCAAAGGATACCGCGATTAACCGCGGTTTTCTCCAAAAATTTTTTTCGTGGGGATACGTAAAATATACAGGCTTCACAACTAATAATACGCTGATTTGTATCATCGATCCTGTTAAAAACGAGCTCAATGGTTCCTTCTGCCTATGACAGAAGATATTGGTTTCTACTACCACTTTTGGAAGCATTTCTTGTCCAAACACATATTCCTCCTCAAAAATCGACATTTGGATGAGGTCCAGTCCTCAGGATCCTTTCTGACCCTCAAAGAAACTTGAGAGTCACTTCCGACATCTGCCTCTGCCACTATCATCGTGAGTATCCTTACTTTGATTCAGATTCAGATTCAGATTCATTTTCTAATCGTTATTTTTATTTAGGTTGTAATTCAAATCATCATTCTGTTATCTATCTCGGTGGGAAATTAGCTTCTGACACAACTTACACTCTCAATCGATAGAATCAGTTACATTATCAACTTCAACCTTGGTATCAAGATCTGTCAGACTGATTCTGTTCCGTAGTCACTCTATCAAGGGAAGCATCTCGCTTAGTTATTACTCATTGTTCTGTACTTCCCAAAGCTTTTCATGGAGCAGTACTCATTTTTATAACAGTTGCGTTCTATTTTTGTCCTCAGTTGGTATCTTAGCTTTAGAGTGTACTTCCAGTTTGATCATGTTCTTAATTAGAGTGGTAGCTCCGAACTGAACTACAATACTCATTGCAGACATGCTTTGGGACCACTGCTTTCGGTAGGCTTTGGTAACTGCATTCGATAGTTCATCAAATTTCTGGAAAAATAGTTTCAGACGATTACGATTTTGTTTGGCACGAATTCTATCTGATCTTTTTTGGATTATTTACTCTTTATTTTTTAGTTAAATCTGGCTTGGCGCCTGATAAAGAGACAATATTTTATTTTCAATTTTTTTGTAGACATTTTTATTAGTTTCAAGGTTAAGCCCAATAAAGATTTTTATGGTCTTCTTTAATTTCATGAAGAGGAAACGAAAATTCAAATGAAAAAAAGCAGTTGTGGTATTTTTCTTTTCACAAATAACCCAAAAAGTATGCTAAGAAAACAAGTGCAAAAGCTTGTCAACGCAGCTCCTTTGGAGCTGAAATGTGGAACTTACGTATGTGCTTCCGAGTTGTTATCATAATGCATTATTTCTAAACTAAAAAATAGTCTTCGTTTCGAATAATTATGAGTGCACTAGAAAATTGTAGAAGATCTGAATTCTGCGCAATTGCTGAGGTCTATAATAATGGCCTGTTTGTAATGGGAGTGGGGAGAGGGTGGGAGAAGAGGGGTTACACCAGTAATCTTCTGTTCCTGTTGCTATGTGTCTGTAATGGGGTGGAGGAGGAGAGGAACTGGAACATCTTGGTCTTAAAATTTATACTGACTATTTTCTTTGAAAATGTAAGTAAGTTCCGCAATCAAACAAATTCTCCAGGGAATGTATCGATTAATGTGTTCTATGAATGATATTTTTGAAAATAGGTGTATGAAACAAAGCTTCAACATCAATATGAAAACTTTTCAAACGGAGTAAGATACCACAAGAGCGTTCTGTTTCCTGCAGTGTAAAGAATGATACTACTGCATTTTAGACGAAAATGCGTAATATTTTGTTTGTTTGTGATAAAATAATAATTAACAAAACCTCAGTTTTGCTTCGTTTGCAAGCAACGTCAGGTTCAACTTGGAATGCATGAACCAATAGTCACACACACGATAACTTAGTAATTGAGTTTTAAAAGACAAAATCAGTACTTCCTAACTTAAAGAGAGACGATAAACAAACTCCAGACCTTGTCTGCCATGGTCTGTGGGGAGGAAAGGGAGGTGAGTCCATATGTCTACCTCTAAAGAGTTCAACATTCTTTTCAGATCGTATTTGACAAAACTGCTTCTTCCATGAAGAGGCTCCAAGCTTTTAAGAGAGAGTCCGTGAGATGATCGAGTATCGTGGTAGATATTGAAGTACTCGATAAAATTTGAATTTTTGTTTTTATGTTCTTATTTTGTTCAGCATCATCTAAAATCGCTAAATGCAAACTTTTAGAGCATTTCGTTGAGCCATTGGAAAGTTAGCTCGAATGCACCTATCACAGGGTAAGAGTCTTAGTTGAGGAAAACTAAAAAATCCTGCATAGAAAGTTAAGATTGTTTTAGATGACAATAATTTTATGAAATTTTTCGTGTAATATACCAAAAGATACGGCTTCGACGCTGAACAAAATCATCTTTTAATATGTTAGATTTCCATGGACTAATCGAGAGTTATCTATGAAATACTATCTATAACTCGTTATTTTCTAGTGGAAAAATGAGACTATCTTTTAGCAATATATTACAGTGTATCAGCTTCCGTTTAGTCATTTTAAGAGATCCTGCGCTGAATATTTTATAAGCTATACGACTTTTTTCTCTCGACAAAATTGTTATAAAAAAAAATAAAAAAGATTTCGAATGATGTCCAAAGATGGCTTACAACGTTGATCAATTGGACAGTGTCTATGAGAAAAAATTATTTTGAATATTTTTTTCTGAAAAACGAACAAAAGTTTAAGAAGACTATGATGCATCTAAAGTATTTTTCACACAAGTACGATATATTTCAATAAGCAAATCGTCTATATAAACTGTTGAATTATCATTTATCGTAATTTACGAAGGTAAAATGGGTTAGCATCATGTTATGCAAAAGAGCTGAAAACACTTTATAAGTCGATTAACGTTCAATTTTACTTCAGTGGAAGTTAAAGTATTGTTTAAATAGTTGTACACTTACTTTATACAAGACGCAGAATTGATGGTCACGTTTAAGGGGAATCTTATCCGTGCTTCTCCTCTTCGGCACGTAGAGCCCATGATGCCTGAAGAGAAGGGACATTATTCGGAAAACACATGTCCCTTTATTGTCTATGAAGGGTACTTGGAAAAGCCGCACTCATGCAAACAATATAATTCTTTATCAATGGTCATTATTCAGAAAATCCGTGCCCATTGGTATGTTCACGCGAGTATAACTCGGTAAAACCGTACCCATCCGTTTATTTAGAATGACTTAGCCCTAATCCGGTAAACCTGGTTCTGTTTTATATTTTATTTGGTTTTCTTTAATGTCAGAGGAGTGGTTGTAGCTGGGAATACATTTAAAGAGATGATTCAAGTGCCATTTTAGCATTCATACTAAAGCTTGCTAGCATTTTGATCTCTTACAGAGCAATTTCAATATCTTGAAAATCTTAGTTTAATGTTTCAAGTTCAAAGTCAATTTCCTCGTTCTCAATATCATTACCAGTATTTTTGACGGGTTTATTTTCGATGAGGACTTTACTATCTGACAAATTTTGAGTGGTAATCATCTGTTGTTCGCTTTTTAGTTGACAGAAAAATGAGCAAACCTCATTTTCATTTTAAACTTGGATAGCCGAAAAGTAAAGCTTGCCGTTTTCTTTCAAGGTCTCCCTATCTAATACAAACTGTTTCGGTTTCCAACGTTTCATACCAGAAACGCCTTCATCTAATTTTTTTTTGAAGTACCTACACTGTTCATCTAAAATATGTATGCTCGATTTACGTATGGACAAAACCCAGCCTTGAGGAAGAGAATTCATTTCGGGTGTGAATGTGTGGCGATGGGTGCGTGTGGCTGTGAGACGAGGACATCGACATGAACACCCAAGCCTACACCCGTACCCCATGCCCACACCCACATCCACACCTATCGGTGTCCCTTTTTGTTCTAAATTGACAAAAGCTTCTTGCTGCTTAAATTGTCTCAAAACAAATCATTTTAAAGTATTTAAAATACTTTTAATGGAACTTGACGAGGCATCCACAGCTGACGGCTATTATGAACGAATCAAGGCTATTTGTGGACAAATCGGGACCATAAGTTTTCACAAAAGAAGTTTCGATTCATATGGTCTCAGCAATTTAGATAGGCTGACTTTTAACACCGATACGATTTGCACCTGTTACTCATTTCAACCTAGTTATTCATAAGGTAGATCAAGAAGCTAAATCATATCTTCAGCACACATCTTTGGGCGTTCAAAATATAATTCCGATTGACGTCATTGCAGATGGCAATTGTCTCCATAACTCTATCATATGTTTAACTCATAATACAGTCTTGATATCTTGCGAACTGAAAGGTAGATACTTTCAACTTTACTGCCCAGTTTTGTTAATACAATCTTTCTGGTTCGAACTGTAATAGAATTCGTAAAAAATGAAACTATCTACAGCAATCGCCTTGCACATATTGTTGGATCACTTAATGAGGTGATAAAAAATATCACCTATCATTTTTCATTCTCGGAACTTTATGAAATCGCAGCTTTGAGTAATGTCCTTCAATGCAATATACTAATTATATATCCAAGAATTGATTGTCGACTCGATCTAGACATCATGAATAGTAGTTTTCAACATGTTCAATCCAATATTTCATCTAAAACAATTTATACATCCTGCTGACATATTCAAAGTGAAAGGGACGCATGTAGAGGTAATGTTGGTAATTGGACACCTAATAATTTCGCACCACTTTTACTTCCATCAAGTGAGTCTCAGAATCAAAGTAACCTGACTGAACCGAAACCCACTGTGTCACGCTTGGTGAGTTTAATGTTTTAGTACAGAACTTTTTACACAAATAAAACACATTTTCACTTACGGACGCCAACTAATTCAACAACGAAGAATAACGTACTAACTCGAATTCGCATTCCTGAATTTAATATGGAGAATAATAAAATTCAACAATTTCAAACATCATCGACCTATTACATGGTAAGCCAGGAAACCGCAACAACTTCTCGAACTAAACGAATACTACAAGCAAGTGAGACTCCCACGAGCGCGAAGAACACGAATATTGACAAAAGACGATTACAAGCTTGTCAAAGGATGGCTTTTAAACGAGCTCAAGCTACACCAGAGGAAGCTGAAAGATAGCGGATATTTGCAAGCGAAAGACGCGCTATCAGAAGAGCTGCCTTTACATCAGAACAAGCTAAACTAGAGCGGCCCCTTGCAGGAGAAAGAATTGCAGCTAGAAGAGCTGCTTTAACATCAGAATAACTTGAACATGAACGTACTATGACTCGAGACAGAAGTGCAGCCAGAAGAACTGCTTTAACAGTGCAAGAAATCGAAGTCAAGCGAGAGCTAACTCGTGAGAAATTTGCAGCATGGAGAGCTACTTTTACATCGAAAGAGATCCAGCTACAACGAACACTTGCTGCCGAACGAAGTATGAATAAACGAGCTACTGCACCCCCAAAAGAAGCTGAAGAGCGGTGTGTGGTAGCTTGCAAAAGAAGTACCGCAATACAAGCTGCTTACAAATCTGATGAACTCGAATGACAGCGTGCATCTGCTCGTCAGAGAAAGTGGCTTCAATAAAGCGACAAGCACCAACAAGAAAGTAACGACTTTGAATGGCCAAAACCTATTGATATTGAACGTAAGAAGAACTGTTTAAAGAACTTTATTCAACATATGTCGAGGAGTTCTCTGCAAGTAGGTGTTTGCGGTATTTGTAATGTTCGTTGCTACAAACGTGATTTCTACCATATACGGTTCAGTAAAATACCGTCTATTGAATTACTGAAAGTACCCGACGATTTTTATGACATAATTCAGGGAATGCAGGAAGCGTACCAATTCCAGTCACATGATAAGCTTAACATGAGTGGTGATCTTGCCAAGGCGTTGATTCAGAAAGAAAGAGCAGCAGGTTAGTCTCGCTAATACGTAAACTAATACAGTAAATAATTTTTTTTAATTATAGATACGCATGCTCAATCAACAATGAATAAACAGTCGTTTACTTATGTAAACGGTATCGTTTTTTATGAAGCAGGATTGCATAAAACTGTTGAGAGAAAAAAACGATATTCGATACACTGCGACATTTGTTCGGAGTGTTGGTCGTCTCTAATAAAAGGGAAAGTACCAAAATTTTCGCCTGCCAACAAAATATGGGCTGGAGATGTCCCAGAAGAACTACAAGGACTAACAATTCATGAGGAAAAACTGATCGCTCTTTAGCGGCACAATGGCTGCATTGTCAAGTTACATTCGTCTTTTCATTCGACAAGTACAGCTCAGTCAGCTTTAAGAAGGAATTGCATAAGTTTTCCCCAAGATGTTATTAACATAGCTACCACCTTACCACTAGATTTAGATGATCTATGTGATTCTCTAAAGATAATCTTTGTTGGATGTCGTCCTCATCAACGAAACCAATTAAAAAATGTTTTGACCGTTCGAAAAAAGAAAGTTTTCGAAGCACTTCAATGGCTTAGACAGAATAATGCTCTATATCGTAATGTTACAATTAATCAATCAATAATCAGCAAATTACCTGAAGATGATGTACCGGAGTGTTTATGGGCAACCATGGAAGTTTCTACTAATGTAGAAGCAGCTGAAAATGAAAGAGCAAGTTACCTTCCTGATCCGTTGACCAATGCATCTGAATTTAACAATACAACAGCTATACCTATAATCTCAAGGTAAGACAAAGAGACATGTTGATATTTTGGTACTAATATTGTTTATGTTATAGTGCTGTGTTAGATGTCAATGGTACCAAAGTGTCGTCTGATGAAGTTGCTGAACATCTTTTAGAACGAATCAAAGCACAAGTGCCAGAAAAAACACACGGAAAAGACACCGAGCAAAACTCTAAACAAGACACTGTATACATAATTCCTCGTGGCAACAAACCGGCCAATGAATATTCTAATCCAAATCTTTTATTAGGAATCTTTCCCACCCTATTCCCATATGGATGTGGTGGGCTTGAGGATGGTTCTCGACCGATTCAAATCAATTTTCGTGAGCATCTCAGATATCTTCTTTCGTATGCAGATCGCCGCTTTGAAGAACACTACTCATTTATATTTGTTGTCTTCAATATTTTACAACGTCGAACAGCATGTTTCCACGCCCAATTAATGACAACAAGATCGTGGTTTCAACAATCTGCACAAGTTCTTAACTCATCGAGTTCTGAAGATGTAGCAGCAGCCCTTATTAATATCTCAAAAGCGCCTTATTCAAAAGTTACTGACGAGAGAATAAATACGTTGATGAAGCACATCAAAATTATTGGTGGTCACGTCATGGGTTCAGCTCATTCCCGATCAGCTCTTCGTATGAAAATTCATTCTTTATGTTTTTATCTTGGTCTTCCTAGCCTTTTCCTCACAATCAATCCGGCCGACATCCATAGTCCAGTGGCACTTTACTTTGGAGGTGTCGATCTCGATCTTGATAACGTTCTGCCAGAAGTCCTGCGTACAAGTTATGAGCGTGCTCAAATTGTCGCGACACACCCTGTTGCAACTGCAAAGTTCTTCAACTGTTTAATAAAAAGCATTTTGAAAAGTCTACTACTGGGCGGTGTACTTGGTCCTGCAAAAGCGTATTTCGGCACTGTAGAGAGTCAAGGAAGAGGATCGCTCCATTTATATCTCTTGATTTGGCTCAATCATGAATATACTCCAGCCCAATTGAAGGAAAATATTCAAAATCAAGATTTTCGTGAAAATTTACTAAAATATTTAGAAGATATTATAAAAGAAGGTTTAGATTCGTTTCGAGATAATATATTTAACATTGTTCGAATCTGTCATTTGAAGTTGTTACATTTGCCTACTTGATGCTGTTTTACACCCTAATAGTGTATCACTGCCTTACCTCGAACTTGAGCTTCCAGAACATTGTTAAAATTTTTATTAATGCAAAACATATTTCATTCTGATCACTTATTCTTACTATATATTTATGAGACTTCTATTTTTTGTACTTTTGAATATCAATATTCTTTTTTAAGATGAAACCAACGACGGAACAAGTACGACAAGCGATGATAGAACATTAATTGGTGAGCTTTGAAGCTTTTAGTAGATCTTTAATTCTAATTCTCACTTCATCTTAGGACAAATTGGATCGACAGCAAGTGAAGTTATACCACCATGTCTCCCGACACCAAATCCTGCATTGGAAGACTTCGATCAAACGTTTCGCAAAGATGCAGTTCAATTGGTCGAAATCTGCAATATTCACAAGCATTCTGCAGCTTGCTATAAATATTCTAAAGGCAAAAATGATAGTTCAAAAAGGTGTCGAATGGACATGCCACGCGCACTAGTGAATGTTTCTAATATTGACCTTACAACAGGTCAGATAACTATGCGTCGATCACATCCGTGGATCAATAACTTTAATGAATGGTTTTTAAGTGCGTGCCGATCGAATATGGACATTAAATTCATCTGGAGTGGAAACGACGCCAAAGCATTAGTCTACTATATAACTGATTATGTAACAAAGTCTACTCTGGCCTTTCACGATATGTTTGCGCTCGCACAACAAGGTATCAAATCTATTGAGCAGGAACGAACTTCTAATACCACAGATAATATCGTTGACAAATCGCGTAAACTAGTGTTGCGCTGCTTCAATATGATTGCTTCACAACAAGAAGTTTCAGGTGTTCAAGTTGCATCATATCTGATGAACTATGGTGACCACTACACTACACATACGTTCAAAAATCTTTTTCTTATTTCAATCGAAACCTATCTACAAACAGAACTAAATAAAGCACGAATTAACGAAAAAGAAATTGTTGAAGAGAGAATAGATGGTAGAACTTTTTAAAATAATTGTATAGATTTTTAACATGTTGTTTTCTAGAGACTTCAACGCCTTACTACGATGAACAAGGAGAAGATAAAAACGAAATCGAAGAACAATTTTTATTAGAACCCACAAAAACCAACAACGGCGATCAGTATGTCTTGGTCAATACTCGTCTTGATTATCAGCATCGATCAAAGGATCTTAGTGCAGTGTGTTTATATGATTTCGTCAGCCATTTTCATAAGAAGGTTATCGACAAATCGGATCGTCGTTTACTAAAGAATGTAACCAATTCTCAAGGCCAACAATTACCTACAGAAGGAACGAAAATAAATGAACATCATACATTTGACAGCGCACATCCGCAATCATTATCTCATCTCATAATTAAACGTTCCATTCCAGTAGTACCAGTCCTGATAGGTCCTCAAATACCTCCCCGCGAACGAGAAGAAACGCATGAACGTTATTGTCGCGCATTGTTAACATTATTCGTTCCATG